AATCAACTTGCAGGTACTACCCAAAACAGAAAATAAATTGCAAATTTAGGTTTTAGCAATTCTAGTCACAACTCTACCCAAGCCTTCTACAGACACGAAGGCATTCACCAACAATCTCATTAGTTGTTTTTTGTTTTGTTTTTTTTAATTCCTGAGTTTATAAGTTTTCTCTGAAAACAATCGATATACCAGAATTGGTTCAGACTAGACACATGTGGCTCAGGCCTGTAGTCCTAGCTACTCAGAAATCTGACATGGGAGGAAACCATTTGACCAATCATTCCCTAATAACAGAAATAGGCCTTAAGGAAAGTTCAATTCTGCTCAGTATGTGAAAGGCCCTTGGTTCAATCCCCAGTAAGCAGGAGAAAAAAAGGAAAAGGGAGGGGTCGGGAGAAGAGAGGAGAGGAGAGGAGAAAGGAGAGGAGAGGAGAGGGGAGAGAGAAGGGAGAAGTATATATTTACATGAATAGATGTATGTATGTGTGTATATGTGTGGGTCAGCCTGTATGTATATAGACATACATATCCCTTTAAAAAGTGTATTATATTGAATGTTTCCATTTTAATCCCCCCTTTCTATCCTCTCCACGCCCTGAATCTATCATTGCCTCTGATTTCACTCAATTAGTTTACTACTACTGTCCTTCTTACATCTATCCAACTGTTCTTCTCATGGATCTCTTGACATCAATCTTTCCTCTTCCTAAATTTTACATATATGACATATGGTGTAAGTGTTTTAGAAATGCCAGAGAGAGGAAAACAACCTGAAAAAAATCAACTTAATGTTGGGTACTACTGGCTCATACCTATAATCCAAGCTTTGAAGAGGCTAAGATTCAAAGATAGCCAGAGAAGAAAAGATCAAACAATATCTTATCTCCAATTAATCAGTTTAAAACAACTCTCTGTTCTTTTCTAGCTCTCTGCTCTCTCTGCTCTCTTCTTTCTCTCTGTTCTCTCTTCTCTCTCTCTGCTCTCTCTCTGCTCTTTTCTAGCTCTCTCTGCTCTCTCTCTGCTTTTTTCTAGCTCTTTTACATCTGCATCCACTGAAGCCACATCTGAATTTGATGTGGCCACACCTTTCTCTGCCCATACCCTAAATGAGGCCTAGCCCAGGCCCAGATCCCTCTCTGTTCTTTTCTAGCTCTCTCTGCTCTCTGCTCTCTCTCTCTCTTCTCTCTCTCTGCTCTTTTCTAGCTCTTTCCTCTCTTCCCCAGCTCTCTCTCTTTCCCAGGCCTTTCCCAGCCACGTGGAGTGCCAACCTTGCCTGGTCCCAGCAGGTCTACTGAATAAACCTACCCCTTACCTGAAAAAATAAAAATAAAATAAACAAACAAACAAACAGGAAATGTAGCTGTTACTTAATTGTAGAGTACCAGTCTCCTGGGGGGGGGGGGAACCTACTGTAATTCTTCTTAAGAAGACTTTTGCAAGGAAAAGCACTATGTGAATCTCTGCAGTTACGAGGTTGGCAGCCTAGCCCTGAGTTGAAACTCCAGTACCAGAAAACAAATTTCTGGCACAAAACAAACCTTATATGTAATAGCCCAAGTTTGGAGGTGTGTTCAGTCCAGGCAATGCTTATGCATATCCAAGGGGAAGCAGAACAGATATTGGTACATATGGAAATAGTAAAGGGAGACAGAAATGGAACTAAGGAAATGTATAGAAATTCAGATAGGATTAGTATCTGAAATTGAATTTTAAATAAAATTGTAACCATTTGAGCAATAAAAATTATTTTTATGAATAACAAGAGTTTTATTTTGTTTTTCTTCTGGCCCAAGGACTGGACCTCAGTTCCTGGGTGCTGCCCATAAGCTTCTTTGCTCAAGGCTAGCACTCTACCACTAAACCACAGCTCCATTTCTAGCGATTTTGTTTTAATCAGAGATTTGAGTCTAACAAACTTTCCTACCCAGGCTGGCCTTGAACTGTAATCTTCAGGTCTCAGCCTGAGTATCTAGGATTACAGGTGTGAACTAATAGCACTTGGCTAGGATAATACTTTGAAAGGCATTATTTTGGAAGAGATAGTAGTCTAAATGGAGTGAGTAGGTATGCTGAAGCCAACAAGCTAGAGGCTGGAGGCATGTAATACTATTTGTACTGACATACAAGAAAGTATCTTCAGATTGTTTTGATCCCAGAAGCAAATGCTGTGGGAAAAAAACCTGATGAAAGAATTTTGTATTCTAAATCTTAATCACTGAGAGAGAGAAAAATAATTTGAAATCCTGGGCATGGAGCTCAGCTTAAATTGACTATGCAGGTATTCTACTACTTGAGTCTTGCCCTGGGCCCTTTGTTTTCAATTAATTTTCAGACCAGGTGTTGAATTTTTGCCCTAGGCTGGCATTCAACTTGAAGTTCCTCATCTCTGCCTTCCCGATAGCTGTGATTGATTGTAAGTGTGCAATTCTACCACCAGATTTACCAAAAAAAATTATGCAAATATAACACTTGTTGAAACCCAAGTAAAAATGTAGAAGTCATGTATAATTCGTTTGTGTTCCTTGGAAAGGGAGGTAAGGATGATGGAGAGCTAACATTTTATGGAAACTTGAATCCCTGGACTCAAAGCTTATAGCACAATTGTGCAGTACTTCAATAACTCGTACTGGATTCCATTCCCAAAATTAAAACAATAAATACTTCCCCAGAATCTTAAGTCATCCCAAACTGACAAAATTCTTTTCTTGTCACATTTAAGCCAGGCTTCAAAACTTTGCTATGAACCATTTATGTGATTTCTTAGAAAAATCAGATTTTCAAAAGATCACTGACTAGACATTTGTGGATCATGCCTATAATGCTAACTAGTCAGGAGGCTGAGATCTGAGGATTGTGGTTCAAAGACAGCTTGGACAGAAAAATCTGTAAGACTCATCTCCAAGTAACCACCAGAAAACTGGAAGTAGAGTTGTGCTTAAGGTGGTAGAGAGCTAGCCTTGAGCAAAAAGAGCTCAAAGACAGTGCCCAGGCCCTGAGTTTAAGCCCTATGACCAACCAAAAAAAAAAAATCCCTTATAACTAAATTTAGAAAGTGTATCTAGATACCTGATAATTTTAGTTTAGAAGGTTTGTCTACCTATCTCAGATAGTTTTTCCAATTCTCCACAGTTCTTCACATGGTACCACATCATCCTGATCCACACTCAGCTAGCTAGGAATCTATTTTGTGCTTAATTCATTCCACATGCTCCTGTAGAACCTGAATAGCCACACACCCACTCACCAATGCTTTATTCTACATTTAGGTCAATAATGTCTTCACAACATCTATGTGGTCAGTTATTTCTTTCAGAAATATCATTATATATGTTTTAAATAATGTACACATAGAGCACTCACAACAAAACCACTTGCATAAAGATGTTATAAAAACCCCATCTTTAAGAAAAATTCTATAGCACTATAACAAATATATTTCTAAATGGTCCTCATCCACGGCCTCTTTTTCTAGATATTTTTGTAGAGAAAAAGAACAATCAAAACAAACTCAGAATATTCAATGACTAAGGGGAATCTCATTTAAGTATTAAAAAACCCCTACCTTTAAACATATTGAAATTTTTATTAAGCCACTGGAAAATATGTATACACTGCATAACTTCTTTTTCATGGTGGTATAAGGGCTTCAACTCAGCGCTTTAGAACTATCCCTGAGCTCTTGTGCTCAAGGCTAGCATTCTACCAGTTGAGAGAAAAAAAAAAAAAAAACACTTCTCCTTCAGGTACATGTGATTAACATTTCAAGGTGTTTCACAAAGGAAAGTCTCACAGTGTTAAACTTTCAGCAATGGCTTTCTTATCCCAGTTGAAGTAGGTAGAAATAGAAAACAAGACACATTTCCTAATCCCCATAGGGAAAAGACTCAGCATAGCAGCTGTTGTCTGTAAGCTTCTTCCTTGTTTTGTTATGCAAGTACTGAGGCATAAACTTAACCCTCTTGCTTCAATTGTTTCTGCACTTGACTGGTACTTTGCCACTGGAGCCAGGTCCCCAGTTCCTTCTTTTCTGTTGGTTAATTAGAGATATTATTGTTAAGGTAGACTTTCTAGTATTAGAGCAAATGAATCACTAACACCAGCATTTTACCTACTTGAGTAAATTAATGGCGAGAAGCTAGTATGTGAGAGGAAATTCAATTTCCTTTTCCAATTTGTTATCTGGTTCTAATGTATGTCTGGCTTTTTGGCTTGGTTTAAAACTGCCATTACCAAAATTCATATTTTATCTTCCTTTTATGCCAGTAGCAGAATCTGAACTCAAGGCATTGAGCTGTTGCATATTTTTTTGTTTAATGATTTTGCATACAACTTGAGCTGCACCTCTAGCTCCTGACCTTTGCTGGTTCATTAGATGAGAGTCTTTCAGTCTCTCTTTTTCTGTAGAAAAAGAGTGTGCAGGATCTGCTTTGAACCTTCATCTTTAGGCCACTTTAGAAGCTAGAATTACTAAGATAGGTCATGACATCTTTTCCCATATATGTAAATCTTCTTTCTCCTATTGATTATGTCTTTTACTTTTCAGTGTGTATATTTCCTAAGTATTTTGCTAAATATTTTCTCTCAGAGTAGATTCTTGATGTTCCTTGAGGTGAAATTTTCTCACATATTTGCACCAAGCATATTTGATATGTATACAGAATTTAAGAAAGTCACTACATTTACTACCACTACATACCACTACATTTACTCTGGCATTTGTCAGAAGACCTAAGACATCTGGTCCGCTATGTCCTAGAGCTTTTGTAGCAGCCGTATCACCCCATGGAGGCATGGCCTGGGGTCCTTGCCACTCCCTGTGCATTGAACAGGCCCCTGTATAGTCCCTGTATAGGTTCTCTTGGACAGCTCCAGGTTACACTGTGTTTTGCCCCCACTCAGGACCTATGGGACTGGGATATCAGATTGTAGGTAGAAAAAAAAAACAGTATTTAGGACTCATGAATTGCACAATATAATAAAAAATTGACAATTTAATAAAATTAGAAGAATAAATAGAATGACCATTTTACAACCATCACAACAAAAAGAAATATAGAGATTTTCCCAAAAAGCGGGGAGGGAAGCTCTAAGTCCTGATCAGACTCTAAGTTGCCTTCAGGAAGAAATTCTAGGTGAGGGTCCTCAAAGTGATCTACCTCTTCAGGAAAGACAGGATTTTCTTCCTGAGTTGAGGGAAGAGCAGATTCTAATTTCTCAATTGGAGATTGGTTTTCCTGCAACAGGACAGATTTGTCTGGATATTCTGTAAGGCCGAATTCACTTTCCTTGACTGAATCTAACTTTTGGACCTCATTTAGTGGTTCTCCTGAACTTAGACTAGGGACATTTTCCAATAACCCCATCAGTGTTAGTTGATCCTGCGGTGTGTTGGTTTGACTCCTTTGGAGCCGATCTAGGTGGACTGTGAACGTCAGAGGAAGAAATTCTGGATCTTCATCCTCCTCAGGGATACCTGCAGGTTCACCTGTGTCACATGTGGGGTTCACAACAAGGGGGGTGTCCACAGGATTCAAAATCTCTTTGGGCCTCACTGCGAAAGGCACAAAGCGCTGGATATTCACACGGTTGCTGGAGTCTGGTGATGGCTCCAGAACCCCATCAGTCACCATTGCTGACATCACTGATTGGTTCTGTATCTCCCGTTCAGGAGAAGCTGCTCTACAGCGGCCAAAACCTGAGAATGGAAATAGGTACAGGATTCTTAGAGTAGACTCTAGAAGTTCTGCTATGACTCAACTTCCATGCTGATTCTAATGGAGGAAGCTGCAGACTGAGTTTGGACTGAACTTTGATGAGAAGGTAGGGTCTTTCTCATGCGTGGCTATGTCTAAGTGCTTCCAAGAAAAGAACAGACATTGCCTGGCAGAGAATATCCATAAAAGGACATTTTGCCAACCTCGGTAGTACTAAGGGCTCCCAGCCAATCAGGACCAATCCCAGGGGCCCAGTATCCATCCCTACTCACAAGTTATCAGGCATCTACACGTGGCCTTCTTCCTCTTTTTCTTGGTCTTCTTGGTCACAGGTTCCTCCAGCTGGTCAAGAAGAACCTGTAAGCGGAGGAGCAGGTCCGAGGAGGGCATGTTGAGCATGATGTAATACATGAGGTCATTCAGGCTGTCTCGGTTCTTGCGTTCACAGAAATCATCAGGGTAGCAATCCATCCACATAGTGAAGAAGGAACAAAGGGCACTGTGGGCAGATTGGTGACAACAAAGTGAGAGCTTGCCCTTCCCATCCTGGGCCCCCCATAGCTTCTTTCTGCCAGGACTCCCATGGTGCCGCTGTCCATCCTATATGCAGACTTGCATGTTGGGAAGTGGGAGGAGACCCCTGCAAGCAGCATGATCCTCACAACCCACTTCTAGAAGTTTCTGAAAGAATTCTCCAAAATGCTCACTGTGATAGGATCTGGCTTTGTGCACACAGCCCTCCCTGTCATCCTTGAGAGTCCACAACCACACCACAGCTGTGTCCCCTGCCACCCACAGTTGTCCCAAGCCTCCACCCCCTGGTAAAATTCACGAGTGGTGTATAAGTGAGAAATTTGCACTTTGAATCAGAAGCCTCAAGGAGAAGCCTTCTTTTGGGGCCAAAATTCACTTACTTCTTCATTTGTTCATCTTCCTCACAGTGAGGGCGGAGGGATCTGTACCTATGGGAGAAGAAGCAGAAGTCAGCTGTCATTTTCTTATTTTGGAACTAGCAGAACATCCAAGGAGCTGGCTCAGTCCCAGATGGGAATGTAAAACTGAGAGACAAACAGTGAGATGTGTAATACAGTTCTGTGAAAATTCAACAAAGAGGCTTATATGCATCTGTCCAAAGTAAATGTGCCAGTGGCTCATGCCACTAGCTAATCAGGAGGCTGAGGTATGAGAATCACAGTTTGAGGCTAGCATAGTCAGGAAAAGTCTGAAGACAGTCATCTTCAATGAACCAACCAAAAACCAGAAATGGATCTGTAGCTCAAATGGTAGAGAGCTAGCTGTGAGCACTTAGGCCTTGAGTTCAAGGTGCAGCACACACACACACACACACACACACACACACACACGCACACACATGCAAATGCTTCAAAGGTCTATAAATGAATACAATATAATCCCTCCCTGATGGCTCAAAAGTGATTCAGTCCCCAGTTCCCCCATCCTCCAGCCTTTCCTCTGTCTATATTACTTCACAGGTCTCCAAGATTACTACTGAAACCTTATGTACTAATGGGAAATGTGGTTTCCTAGGGCCTCACTTAGATGAGGACTGAAGTTGGGTGCCACTGGCCCATGCCTGTAATCCTAGCCTTTCAGTAAGCAGACTGCTGAGGCTCCAGTAGCTTCTGAGGGAAATGAAATGTCCACACTGGAGACACCAGAGTCCTGGAGGACCCAGTCCTAACTAGCCAGGATATGCCCTCTTTCATCTCATCCCCCATTCCCATGAGAAGACCCCAGTGAAAGGAATAGGCTTAGAGAGGTGCCAAGTATTCCCAAGATGCAGCCAGGAGGGGCTGAGCAGCCCTGGGATGGAAGGGGGAACACTCACTTTTTGAACAGAATAGCCAGCACTTGGTCCATCGTCCCACACTTTCTGTAGCTGTGTAGGAAGCTTTGAATAAAAAAGAGATCACCTTTCTGGTGGGCAGGGACCAGGTTCATCACCAGCTTTTCCAGCAGGCCTGCCTCTGGGCTCCATACGTTATATGGCACATTCAGGGTCGGGGCTGAATAATTGCCACCCTAAGGTGTTAAAGAGAAACGATCTTACAGACATGAAATGGAGCACACTTCAAACTGAGAAATTGTGATAGAGGGAAGTGAAAAGTACACAGAAAGCATTATCTCAGTATAGACACTTAAAAGCACACAAGAAGAACGTTCTAAAGTGGGCCAAGGTTGGGATCAAATAGGTTTCCTATCGTGAGCATACCTTGCCTGAGTTGCCTTGTGTTTTTCTTGATTTCTTTATGGAAAAATCCCTGAGATACTGGATCCGTGGCTTACCACTGATCCAGTGTCTGCAGCTTTGACCGAGGCACCCATAGCTCTCTTGCCAGAGACCGGAGTCTCGTGACCTACGAATACAGGTCTTTCTCATTTGTGAGTCGCAGGCCAAGTGAGCCAGCTTGAGCTAGCTCAATACAATAGCCTGCTATCAGGGTTCCATGTTCTATTCCATTGTGAAGGAGGCAGGGTCATCTCTCAGGGCCCAATGACCTATGCTGCTTCCTCACACAGGACAAATGAGGCTGAAATCCCCCCTCCCACATCACAATGTGCACATGTAGACACAGTTAACAGCACACCTTGTCTGATGAATCCCAACCTCCTCTGCTAGGCCTAGGTACTGGCATGGTCTCAGTGTCCAGGATCCAATCCTAGGTCAGATCCATGCCTTATTTGTCACTGTTCTTCTCATCCTGCACAAATCACTCAGCCTCTCAGGGTCCTCTCAGCCTGCCATGTATTTCCTGCACATATTTTTGACATCTCTGTCCTAGGATAGTGTTAGCATTCTGTATCATAATCATCTGCCCTTGAAGCCCCTTTGGGCTGTCATCTGGAGAAAATGCAAATATTTAGAGATTAGAAAATCAAAGAAGTATCAGAAAGCAACATTACCCACACATTCAGACATTTGTACAGGTCTTCATTTTTGTAAAAGAAGACTATTTTGGTACTTTTCACAAATATTTTATGAAAGGGATAAAGAATTAAGGGAACAGATGCTCCACTGTCATTACTATGATGATGACAACTATTCTTAAAAAAAATACTACACCTTTAAAGGAATGTGATATTTAAAGATAGAAAACTGTGCTCCTGTGCTTCTTACAAGATATTCATTTATACACTATTTGCCTCTGAAGTCTTGGCTTCTGTGTCCCATGACCCACTGTTCGTGATCCTCTTCCCTCTTTCCTCATTGAAGAAAAAGGAATTTCACAAATTATTTAGCAATTATCCAATCTCCAGATGTAAATTTAAGATACAATATTGCCTGTGATGGTGTGTGTGTGTGTGTGTGTGTGTGTGTGTGTGTGTGCGTGCATGAGTTGTGGAACTTGAACTCGGCCTGTGTGATATCCCTAAGCTTTAGTCCCTCAAGTCTAGCACTCTACCACTTGAACCTAGCTCCATTTCAGCTTTTTGTAGTTAATTGGAGATAAGAGAACCGCGGACTTTCTGGGCTGGCTTTGAACTGAATTCTCATGTCTCAGCCTCCTAGGTAGCTAGGGTTACAGGCACGAGCCACTAGCACCTTCTGGTAAAGCATTATTACTTGTGGCAAGTTTCAGTCCAGCTTCAAAAAACACTATATTAAAAAAAACCACAATCAAACCCTATTCAAAAATACAATATCGGGCTGGGATGTAGCTCAGTGGCAAAGCGCTTGCTTGCCTAGCAAGCGCAACGTCCTGGGTTCGATCCCCAGTACCAAAAAAGAAAAAAGGCAAAAAAAATACAGTTAAAAAAAAACCCAAACAAAAATACAATATCAAGGGGGGATGAGGATAAAATTTAGTGGCATAGTATGCTAGTCTAATTTGCAGGAAACCCTGGCCTCCATATCTACTATCACAAAACCAAGCAAAATGAGATAGTTTCAAAAGATCCTACCTATTATGCAATTCCATCATTTAATAATTTCAAACTGTGAAAAGAATTAACATTCATATCTGTAAGGGAGAATAGAAAAAAAGAATGCAGACCAAGAAAAGGAAAATTCCACATTGTGGCTCAAAGTGGTCGAGCGCTAGCTTTGAGCGCAAAAACTCAGTATCCAGGCCCTGAGTTCAAGCCCCATGACCAAAAAAAAAAAAGAAAAAAGAAAAGAAAAGAAAAAAGAAAAAAAGAATTTTTCTCTAAGTCATAATTTAGAAAGAATGTTTTATTTTTATTCAGATGTTTGAACAGATGCAGTTCTTATGCCAGGAAAAAGTGTTATATTTCTCTTGGTTGCTCACACTGTTGTCCCGTTTGAAAAGTGCTTTTGTGATATTTGGGGGGACAGACTGATGTCCACATACTGCACCTCTGCAATGCTATTGGTTTGGAGAGTGGCTGTCTATGCCTAAGCTGTTTAAGAGATGATCATAACTTTCCAGGGCTCCAACCATAACATCTCATGGTCAACATTTGACATGAATTCTTCCCATAAAGCTTCATTTAATACTGACATAAATAACATATTTGGTGTTGATAGTGGGGCTTGAACTCAGGGCCTTACCATCTCATTTGTGTTTTTCATTCAAGGCTAGTACTCTGCCTCTTTTGCCACGCCACCACTGGCAGAATTTTGCTGCTTAATTGGAGATGAGTCTCAGAGAGTTTCTGCCTGGACTGGCTTGAAACCTTGATTCTCAGATCTCACACTTCTGAGTGGTTAGGATGACAAATGCTGAAATGATGATGAGACCCCTCAGGCTGGGGAGAAAAGCAACCAGTGATGAAGAGCACTCATTGGTCAGAGCAATTTGATAGCAATACAATAGGCAAAAAAATGATCAATAAGATTATAAGCCTAGCCAGCTGTTGGTGGCTCACGCCTGTAATCCTAGCTACTCAGGAGGCTGAGACCTGAGGATCGCAGTTTGAAGCCAGCCTGAGCAAGAGAATCCATGAGACTCTCATCTCTAATTCATCACAGAAAAAAAAAAAAAACTGGAAGCAGTACTGTGGCTCCAGTGGGAAAGTGTCAGCCTTGAGCAAAAGGAGCCCAGGGCCAGTGCCCAGGCCCAGAGTTCAAACCTCATAACTGGAAATATTACATACACCGAATATTGTAAATATCTGTAATCTCAATACTTGAAAGCTTGAAGCCACAGGATTCATGAGACCAAGATGTTGGCTATATAGTGAGAACCTGTCTCAAGAAGCAAGCCAAGGGAACAAAACAAAACAAAAGAGATTGTGACAAATCCTAATTCTGTTTCTTTTCGTAAAGAAAACATCAGTAGACACCTGTTTCCAAGTTCCCTAGAACATAAAATTTCACTTGAGAAGGTAAGAGTAAAGAAGAAGGAAGTCAGCAGACAAGGTAAAGAAGATCATGGCCCTTAGAGCCCCTGTATTCCTCTTCTCTCTAAGTCCCCATCACTTTTGGGGTGCTGCATGTTACTCTTGCTGTTTTTCCTCTTAGTGCCATTCTCCTCCTCACATCTTCTTCTCTAGTGCCAATAGTATGGGAGGTATTTCAATGAACTAAACATACTGAAATTAAGAAAGGCTGACAACCTTGATTCTAGACAATGGTAGAACTTTTGGGGCCCATCTTCTTCATTCACTGTCAAGTTGCAGGAGCCAGCAGCACCCATTATACGGGCAGCAAGCCCACAGTGCCATCTAGCGTTTGGAAATAGAAAAACATATATGAAGAAAGAAAGCAATCTGCTCACATCTCATTTATTTATTCATTCATTTATTCCACAATCTTATATGAAGTATTCTTCATCATACACTGAGTTTATTGTTCTCTTCCAACTCAAATTGGGGATTTTTTAATCCCCAAATATTCCTCTCTCAATTATCCTTTCCTTGTAGATGATTTAACCAAAACAATCATTTCCTGAGGAGGTACACATTAGATCTTATTTACACAATACATTCCAATATGTGCAAAATTAATACTAACCATAAAATATGCCAAAACCTTTCCTTGCCACTTTATAAATATTAATACACTTGATCTTTGTAACCTGCTATGGGCTAACTACTACTGTTATCTCCATGAAAAATATGAGAAAACAGGCCAGATGCTGGGGGCTCATCCCTGTAATCCTAGCTACTCAGAGGGCTGAGATCTGAGGATCGCAGTTCAAAGCCAGCCCAGGCATGAAAGCCTGTGGACTCTTCTCTCCAATAAACTACTCAAAAAAGCCAGAAGTGACACTGTGGCTCAAGTGGTAGAGTGCTAACCTTGAGCACAAAGAGGCTAGGGACAGCATCTAGGCCTTGAGTTCAACCCTAAGGATTGGGGAAAAAAAATCAATCAAAAAGTGCTGGGGCATGGCTGAAGTGATGGAATACTTAGAAACAACTGTAAAGCCCTGAGTTCAAACTGTAGTACTACCCACCACTTCCACTAACAAAGCAAACAAGAGAGAGGACACTTTTCCTATGAGGAAGTACAAATTGCCCATTTAAAAAAAAAAAGCTCAGAGAGACAAACAGCACGTGTTTTCTCTCATCTGCAGAAGCTAGATATAAAATATACTGGGACCTAATACATTATACAGGTCTCCAGCATTCACACACAGTGAGGCCAAAGGATAGTCTCAGGACAGGAACAGAAAGACACAATGCCTATATGCATCTGATCATACAAAATAATATTTATCAAGATGAACTCCAGGAAATGGAGAGGATTGTTTTTGTCTTTTTTGCTTTCTTTTCTTTTCATCTTGTTTATCTATAAGTCTTTCAGAGTGTAAAGGGAGGCACAGAAATGGAGGGCAAAGGGTGAACAAATGCAGCAGCAGCACTCACTGGACACCATGTCGAAAATGAACCGTATATGTTGTGGATGAGATGGGAGGCAAAAACTGAGAGAGCACGAGGGAAGGGTGACAATGCCCAAAAGGAAATGTACTTTTGCCTTACTTATGTAACTGAAACCCCTTCTGTTTCTAACATTTTCAAACTAAAAAGACACACACACTGTAGAACATTCAACATCTATAAGGATTGAAACCACATTGAAATCCTCCCTTAACCTTGTCACAATCGCTATCATTAAAAACAAAAAACAGCCAGACACTGATGGCTCATGCATGTAATCCTAGCTACTCAGGAGGCTGAGATCTGAGAATCATGGTTCAAAGCCATTCCCAGCAGGAAAGGGTGAGAGACTCATCTTCAATTAAACCTGGAAGTGGAGCTGTGTCTCAAGTGGAGAATGCTAGCCTTGAGCAAAAAAGCTCTGGAACAGCATTCAGACTCTGGATTTTTTTAAAAGGAAGAAAACATAAAACAATAAATGTTATCTAGGACTTGGAGAAGAAATTATTTTTTTGGGGGGGGGGGGAGTCTGGTCGTGGGCC